CAAGACAGCAGAAGAGACAGGCAAGAGAACTGGTCAAAGACAGGAAAACACTTCCTTTCGAAAGGTGTCTCTCGATGTATTAGTGAATCAATGTGCTTACACTGAATGTTTCCAAAGACCGATCCACCAGGGAACGTGAACAGGCACGGACAGAATGTGGATGCCCTGATCTGTGACAGATACAGTTTGTTTATAAATTCATGGGCAACTATCGAAAACATCCTTTGCTTGGGTCAACAGAGTCTGGTTGTAATCTACAACAGGGATGTACCAGTGGAGATTGCCTAATACTCTCTAGCCTGCTGTTGTAAGCTCAGACAAAACCACCAGTCATCTGTGCATCTGGGCATTTTGAAACTTTTTATTCTCAAAGCTGACTTTACTGTTTTCCTGAATGTGTAGGATGTAATACAAACCTGAAGCATAACAAATCTGAAAATAAGCAATCCCAGTGAATCCAAAAGTAATCTTTCTGAAGAACTGTGCTTTTGGGTGACAGGAAAGAAACATTTGGCGATGGAAACAAAATACCTCACTCACAACTAATGTGCAATGACTGTAGATGCTACTGTTGCTGGAATGTTTCTTATTGCTCCTTTGAGCAAATGTGAGGCTATTCTGGAACTTTTATGGCCGATATTACCACCAAACAAATTGGTCTGGAGGCAAACTGTGGTCCTAAACTGTTTGACTTTATTGTCATGAAAGAGTACCCTTCCTAACATTCTCAAGGGTAGAGCTAAGGTAAGCTCAATGGGCGCACACTTTGTAAATTTGGGTGGGAAACAAAAAGATAAAAGTAAATGAAACTCTTTGCTGTGTATGTAACAATTTCAGGGCAAGGAAAATGTCTACCCAGAGATACTGACAGTCCAGCTACCAATTTCTCGGCACCTGGAGGTCACAAAAATGTTTTTGTGAAACTAAAAAACTGTACACTGTTGGGGCTGTCAGATGACAAACAGAATTCAAATTCAAATGATTCTTGTGTGTTTTTCAAATATTAGGGGGACAGATAGTTAGTTCAGCACCAACATTCCCAGATTACCATAGGACTCTCTGTCCCAGATCTGCGCCTTATTCTAACACGAAAACTAATTAACCAAAGGCTCGACTAAACAGGTAAGTTTGTAGCCCAGACTTAAAGATGGAGGCTGTGTCTGAGTACCAAACACAGACTGGTAGGCTATTCCAAAGCTGGGGGGCTTTGTATGAAAAGGCTCCTCCCCCTGATGTAGAGCTGGGTGATATGGCCAAAAATGTTATCACGATAAACAAAATTTATATCGTTCGATATCGATACATATGGTGATAAATGTCAAATCGTTATTTCTTTCAAGTTTGAAGGCTGATCTTTGCTCCTGGGTGGTTAATTGCTGTTTTAAACTATACCTTATGGTCGGAACACGACAAACACTCACCAACCAGTGGAACATTTCACAAATCTGTCATGGGACAGTGGGAGAAAGTGTCTTGTGAGCTGTTTTTACCAGCTGGAAAAGCATGGCACGGAGTCCTCTTTTTAGGTACGTTTAAACTGAAAGCGGTGCTTTTGTGTCGTGTTTGATCTACAGTATCAATTCTTCATGTTTTGGAGTGACAGAGCGCTGCTTCAAGTTAGTCAGCTGCTAAAAACAGCTAGCCTGGAAAGACAGTGCTCTTCCGCTCTCCAACGCCTCACAGCTTCCTCAGTTTACTTTCGTTTAAATCAGGGCTGTAATTAACATGAACCCACTTCTTTTTTTCACTAGTGCTTGTGAACGCACTAATACTTAAATATGACTGTCCGAGAGCTGTAACAGCGCTTTAGTTGTGAGGATTGTGATTTAACGCTGCTAAAGCTGGTTAGGATGTACAGCAAGGCCATTCAGAGCTTTATACGTCAGTAAAAGAATCTTGTACTCAATGCGGAATTTAACTGGCAACCAGTGTAAGGTACACAAAATTGGGCTAATGTGGTCAAATTTCCTGGTTTTGCTGAGAACTCTGGCTGCAGCGTTCTGGACTAACTGAAGCTTTTTAAGGTTTTGGCTGGAACAGACAGAAAGCAGAGCGTTACAGTAATCTAACCTGGACGTGATAAAGGCTACGTTTCTGCACCCTGTAGCGACAGTGCATTTCTTAATTTAGCGATGTTACGAAGGTGGAGGAAAGCTATTCTGGTATCTTAGATCTGGTAATTTTAAGCACATTATTAAAAGTATAGATACATAACTGCAGTTAATCTGAGATTTTAAAATCAATGTTATGTCTCCTAAATCTAAAAATAATGCATATACCATTAGTAGTGCACTCATTAGTGTAGTATGTGAAGTACAGAAGTGTGTGGTTTGAGACGAGGCGATAGTTGTGCTAGTGAGCTAGTTAGCTAATGTTAACGCTAAAAGCCGTCTTACTTTATATTATGAGCTGTAACATTTTCTTCTCTGGTATCGTTAACGGAGTTGGAAAGGAGAAGCAAGTAACTATTATTCACAGCGACCCTGTTCACTTTCCAAGTTACGTTTACAGCTTTAAACACTGCATCGGTGTCTTAACGTCAAGGCACTGGTGCGTTTAAATTCGCCGAACGTTTGGCTCCACTCGCAAACAGTATCACAAGGTAGTTCTCAGCAGACGTACAAGGCAGCTGGACGAAAGGTCAAAATGAAATGTTTACACAAAATCATTCGTTTAACTGTTCATAGAGAACAATTTCGCCACAGACGTTCGCCACTTTTCCATCTGCTCCATCAGAGCACATCTTCTCTGCAGCGGGGAGTATCTGCTCTCAGAGGACAGCGAGACTCTCACAAGAGCATGGAGAGACGCTGACTTTCCTCCATTTCAATAAAGACCTGTGATTGTAGAATTAATTTGCAGCAGAGTGTGGACAGACAGCAGAATGCAGAAAGCACAGTTTATGTTTAGAATTTAAATTTAGATTCATTTTTTAAATTACTTGATTAAAGGAAAACTGATTTAGTTAACTTTGCACATCCTTGGTTTTAAATTTTGACTAGAAAAATTTTTGAATAAGTTATGCATCTTTATTGTCTTCACTGTTACTTAGCAAATGCATAAAACTAAAAAAGCTTAATTTAAAAGCTGAAAGCTACATAAGTATTACTTGGTGATGTAGTGATTCATAATCCGAATAATCGATTATTTGTTTCAGTAATCGATAGATTATTCGACGATGAAATTAGTCGTTTGTTGCAGCCCTAATGGTCAGCAATGGCATGTTCTTCCCTCCGTTTGGTAGTGATAATGTTAGTAACAAATTGGCCTGGAACATTCAGGAACCACAGCATAGGCAGCTTTATACATATGACTGGATGCTTTCTGCATTAGAAAGTGCATTTTTTTTCTTTGGCTTTGGATTTTATTTTGATAACCCTATTAGAGACTAGCAACAAGCTAGCAAAGTGGCACTGTCTGGCGGAAGGCATCAAAATGGAAGGTTTTAGCAAAAAGTTTTAAGTTAGTAAGCAAGTAAACTTTATTTATATAGCACAAATCTACAAAGTTCTTCACATTAGTTAAATCAAAAATTAAAATAAAAATAAATTTAAACCCACACATACAGATAAATGTATTACCTATGATCTCAACTCAAAAAAGCTAGAGAATAAAAGTGAGTCTGATATTGAGGGAGAAGACTGTTCCATAATTTATGAGCATGTAGAGCAAATGCACAGTCTCCCATTCGCTTCAGTTTACTTCTAGGGACAATAAGAAGGCCCTATATTAGAGGATCTCAGCGACCTGGTACTTGTATGAGAAACTAAGGCTACGTTCACACAGCAGGTAAAAGTGGCCCAAATCTGATTTTCTCACCAAATCTGTTTTTTTTTGGTTTGGCTGTTCACATTATCTTAAATGTGACCGTTTGCGGCATCAGTCTGAACAGATCAGCTCCTAAACCGACCCACATGCGCAAAAGAACAGTGCTTCACATGGCGGCTCGTCCAGAGGTAAACAGTCATGACGGCCAGTGAACGCCTGTCGCTCCCGGAGCTTTCAGTTTCGTCTTCGCCAGCAGCACAGGAGCGATTCTAAAGTTCCAGTGGTTGACAGCTGGACTCATCACCCACAATGTGTTCAAGTTCGCCGTAAAAAGGGCACGTTATTCGGCCACGGCCACTTCTTTGGCTCACATACTCGGATTCTTTAAACTGTTTTCTGACGCTGCAGCCTCGGTCTCCTCCAGCCGCGTTCGGTCGTTTCGTTCGAAACCTCTTCAAACACGGAGCGGTTTGATGAGTCTCTTCTAACGTTTTGGCACAGAAACATCAGACTAAATGTTTATGAGTCTCAGCAGCGCGGAATGACGACGAATATCGAGTTGTATTGACGTGAAAGTCGCATAAATTCCGATCTGGCTGAGTCGCATTGCCGCAGATCGGATACGTGTTGGATTTCAGTACCACATATGAAAACATCTCAAATCGGAATTGAAAAGGTCAGATTCAGTGCGTTTTTTGCTGTTATCACTGCCACACAGATGACTCATCTGTGTCACATTTGAGGAAAAAGATCGGATTTGGGCCACTTTTACCTGCTGTGTATTCAGGCGCTTCACCATGTAGAGCTTTATACGAAAGAACCTGTACTTTAAATTCAATCCTGAATTTCACTGGCAACCAGTGAAGAGAGGCAAGCACTGGGTTAAAGTCAGTGCTAGCAGCTAAATAACATGAACAATTAGGTTATGATCAGAACTTCAGAATCACTGCTTTGTCTTAAACAGAAATGCTGCAAAATGCTGCATAATGCATACAGAAGCACACGGCATGCATCCATTTGGAAACACCAGCTGTGCCTTACACAGTGTAAATACTTCAAGCCATATGGACATAAACATAAAATGCACATAACTGTAGGTAAATGGTTTTGTTATGACAGCAAAGGTATACTAGAGTTGAGTTTGACTGAGTGACCAAGACACAACTAAGAAATATCCCTTACCAGAAGAGAGAGTGAGATTTATTTCTCTATAAAGCACAGCAGATTCTCACCTGTAGGATGGAGGTGGATATCCCTGAGCCTCACAGCTGAAGGTGACCTCCCGGCTGGGATCATTAGGGTGCAGAGGGAACACAATGCTACCCGGCTGCTTGATGAAAACAGGTTTCAGAGGAACACTGCTCTCTAAAAGCAAAGCACAAAACAACAAAACAGGATTGTACTTAATATGACGTTCACTAAAAACTTTCGATATGTGTCAAATAGTTGTTTAAGGCACAATTCTTGGTCTCACTTTATATTGTCTCTAATAACTGTAGTTACATGTCAACGACAATGTAACTACTAGTCATTTAGTCACTGTTACAGATGGATTACAGATGTACACCTTATGTAATTACACAAGTGTATCTTAATAGATGTAAAAGCCTATTCTCTCTCACATAATTACACAAGGGTAATAACATAAATCTAATAACATTTGTAATAAGACAGGAACAGAAGTTTTTGAAGTTTTTTTTTTCCCCCAGCAGTAAAAGGAAGTATTCAATAACTTACATTAAGACATTACTAAAACTAGGGGTGCGGGAAAAAATCGATTCTTAAATGCATCGTGATGCGGACGTGAACGATTCTGAATCGATTCAAAAATCGATTTTCTAAATATTTCATTTATAACGTAATGTTGACGGAACACAGAAGGCAGAACTTGGAAGTGTGGAAGTGCAGCGCCCAGACAGTCTGTGGCGGCACATAAAAACTAGACTAAAACTAGCTCAAACTGAAAAGTTTTAAATAAAAACGACCGAGCTAAACAAAATGAACAGAACAGACAGCAAAATGCTGGTGAACGTACGAAGCTGAAGCTGACTTCTTTTTCAGATTTTCCGTTCCACCTTAAATGGTGCAGCGGTTAAGTGTGGGAATGTAACTGATGCACCATTTAAGATGGAACGGAAAATCTGAATATGAAGTTGGTGAATAAGAAGCCAACGAACGTTGCACTTGTTTTAAATGCAGAAGCTGTTAAGATCGTTCGAATAGAAAGACCTCGTTTACTTTTGTTTTATAAGCACAATAACAGACATCTGACGACGTCTCTGTATATCAGATTTATGTCTGGAAATGAATCCATTCACATGAAAAGTAAGCGACCGTGAAGAGTCCTGTCTGTAGTCAGATGCCTTTCCACGTTTCTTCCACTTTGGGTCTCGAGTCTTACCAAGTCAATAGGTTCAAGTCCAAGTCAAAGTCTGAGTCACTGGTGTTCAAGTCACGAGTGTTTTTTTGATCTTGTCCAGTCTCAGAATTACTGTATCACTATATCACACACTGTCATTTTTCCATACATAGAGATGAAAAGAATAGTTTTGTAAAGCTCTAAGCTGTTAATTTGTATAGCCACCTTCTGTATTTTCGCACCTGAACAGTGTTAAAACTTAAATTCATACTGAATAAGTGGAGCATGGTAAAACCTGCAGCTCAGTCTGGTGTGCAAGTGCAAAATGGCTTCTGTTTGCATACTGATAAATCACTTTTTGCACATGCAAAATGAATTAGCGCCACCTCAAACGTGAGTGATTGTGTGAAAGTGTGAGAGTCACAGTAGCTTTGCAAAATAAGACAAAAGAAATCATGATTTGCACAATTTTAAATAAAAATAAATAAATAAAAAGCAGGTATTATATTTTTCTTGCTCAACTTTGTCCTTAAGTAAATACTAAAGAACATCTTATTGTCTTTTTTATTCTTTTTCCTTTTCACCTGAAAACTCCAACAACAGGCTGGAGAACACTTCCATCTTTTGCTCATCTCACTAATCATATCCCCCTAATCAATGCTCACTGGCCAATTACAGCTTTGTTAACTTGCGATGGAGAGTAAATGAATCAATAGTCTGATTCTGAGTCAAGGGGCAACCATGCAAACCTTCAAATCTTTAACTGAGACACTGCATCATTTTCTCATTGTTACATTCAGTAGTTACCTAATAAACATTAATCACTGCTGTTATCAATGTACTGATGGTACTTTCCATTGACCCGCCAGCGTCTGCTCATTGTTCCATGCTCAGCTAGTAATATACACCGACCGGCCACTTCATTATGACCATCCTTGTTTCTACACTCATTGTCCATTTTATCAGCTCCACTTACTATATAGGTGCACTTTGTAGTTCTACAGTTACAGACTGTAGTCCATCTGTTTCTCTGATACTTTGTTAGCCCCCTTTTACCCTGTTCTTCAGTGGTCGGGACCCCCATGGACCCTCACAGAGCAGGTACTATTTGGGTGGTGGATCATTCTCAGCACTGCAGTAACACTGGCGTGGTGGTGGTGTGTTAGTGTGTGTTGTGCTGGTACAAGTGGATCAGACACAGCAGTGCTGCTGGAGCTTTTAAACACTGTGTCCACTCTATTAGATACTCCTACTTTGTCGGTCCACCTTGTAGATGTCAGAGACAATAACTCATGGACAGGTTTTTTTGGTTGGACTATTATCAGTGAGGCAGCACTGCTGTATATGATCCAACCATGCCTCCTGTGTTTAACACGCAACCTAAACAATGCCTGTCCTGCCTAGTATTGGACAATGTTTAATCAGATTATAATTAGCTAGACAGTAGTGACTATGTGCTTATATTAAAGTTATAGCATGATTTAAACTGAATGTGTTTGACATTTTTTTGGATTTCTTTTTTTTGGGGGGGGGTATGTTGAACGACTCATCCAACTCCCCTTGGTTATACTTCTGCTAGTGACCTTAGGCTAATACCTGGCTGCTCCAGAGCATCTTATTCCACTGGTAATACTTTTATAATTACAAATCTTATTATTTCACTATGTGTCAATTTCCCAAAGCACTTAAGTTTAGGGCTCCAGTTATAATTGGCTCAATTAAGTGAATCAACCTGTAATCAAGGCAGGATATTAATAACTTTTTAAGGGCTGGATTTTGCCCTTACTGGCGGATTCAGGGGCGTTTTATGCACAAATAGCGAGAACGTTTTTTAATGGAGCAGTTCAACATCAAAATCTTGCCAGAGAAGCAGAGTTTATTGAATATCACTGGAACTTTGACTGAAACTGATTTTTATGATTAGATGGACACCAGAGTTGTTTTCAATGCAAAAGGAGGCAAGATCATGCAGAAAAGAACTGAATCCCCACTGTAAAGTGTGGTGATGGTTCTATGATTTTAGGCTGTTCCTCTCAGGAATCATCACTGGTATCATCACTCAATAAAAACAATCAAGAGATCTAAAATTAGAGATCTTAGACCAAATATCTGACTGCCTCCATCAGACATTAGATTTTCCAGCAGGACAATGAAAATCCAAAGCACTTCTCTGACCACAGAATCAAGCATTTACAGTGGTCATCACAGATATAAACCCCTTTAAACAAAAAAACTGGGGGTGAGTGAGGTAAGCGGAAAAAAACAAGGACCAAGAAGGATCTGGAGAGATTGCGTACGGAGGAATAGTCTCAGATCCCTTTCTTTGCGTTCTCACACATCATCTAGCTTCAAAGGAAAAGACTCAGTGCTGTTATCTTGGAAAAAGGAGGGTGCATGAAGTACCAAATACAGGGCACCAAACATGTTTGTCAAGCTGTTGGGACATTTTTGAATATTGTTTTTGCTAATTTTTTCCAAGGTAGCTAGTAATTCTGGAGGCAACTTTATAAAATATTGCCCAAGCCTACAGGAAGCGGCTGTTAAAATGTTAATCACTAAAGTGCTTGGACGTTTTGTGTTTTATTATGCATAGTAATTATATAGTGATGGTTAATGTAGGCCACTTATCCCGTCTTATTAACCAGAATTGCCCTTGAGTAAGATGGGACATCCACCAAACAGAGAACAAATATTTTCTGTGTGAGAATGGGAATGCAACTGAATAATAGAAAAGCTGTGCTGTAGTCCAGTTTATACTACGCAAAGTTTTATTACCGTCAGGTACTATAAAAGTTTTCTTATTCTCATGATTGTTTAATTAGGGTGTTGAGGTAGAGGTGCACACTAATGGTGCGTTCCAATCGGGAGGCAGCTGTCTAAGTAGGCAGCATTCTAAGGCAGCATTTGTGTGCTCGCGAGACGAAGTCTGGCCCATTCGGAAGGCAGCATAGTCAGCTGCCTTCTAAGGTGCCTTATTTTGACCAAATCTGAAGGCAGCATTGTATGTACCCTTCTCAGCGAAGGCAATTCCACAATACTGTTCACCTGCCGAGAGTTCCATCGCTTCAGTTTGATGAACATGCTGGACGAAGCGGCCGCTTTTTGTCGACTGAGGAGTTCACAAATGTAAGTTATTTCTTCACTTCTGTCTTTACTGTTTCAATTGGTTGTTGTATTTTTGTAAAAAGTTAACATGTGTGTTTGTAGGTCTCTAGAAATTGTTCCTATGGTGAAATTTTGGCAGTTCGCTTGTCTAACGCGATCTGACAGGCTGTAACTCATTGGGTGAAGCTAACGTTAGTCAGCTTAGCTAGAGGGCTAGCTGCGTAAACGGGCTGGCTCTTTAAACGAGAGAGAGTCCAGTTTAAAATACTGGCTGTTCACTGTTTAGTAGCGTTTTTTGTAAGTAAATAATAATCGATTTGATTCTATACTCAGGGATTTTTGTCTGTCATCAGGAACTAACATTACAGAAGCATAGAGGTGCTGTCTGACGGGCTGAGGAAGAGCCACCAGTGGAGGAACCAGCGCTACAGACTGACGTTCTCCGTAAATGACGAAAGTTACCTTAACACACTGGATGATGTAGAAATTCAGAAATAATAAAATGTCTTTAAAATAAATACCACGAATGCTTATTTTTGCCTGCTCTGCTTGTTTTGTATTGCTGCGCTTATCACAGTCACATCAGTGTTAGGTAGACGGCTAAATTTCAGACTAGGAGCTCATAAATCAAATGAGAATGCATAAAATGAAATGCAGATTAGCAGCTTAGACTGTGTGCTATCCTTTTTTTCTGAGTGCATTTTGTACAAAATTATACATAGTTTTTATCCTTAATGTGTTAGAAATAAAGCGGGTTCGTTAAGGTGGATGAGGACAGTGAATTAAGTGAAATGATTCACAAACTGTGGCAGCACGGTGGCGCAGTGGGTAGTGCTGTCGCCTCACAGTGAGAATGGCCTGGGTTCGATTCCCGGCCGGGCGACCAGGGTCCTCTCTGTGT